AAGAAGTAGTTTTAGCCGACCGGCGCACTTTGCCTGACCGGCTCAGTATCAAAGCAAGTTATGGAGAGGATGAAGGGCGTTTAAATGCGACAGTCTGATGGCCGATTTCGATGACGTGCCCAACCAGCTTCAAGAAGTTGAAGGCGAACACGTGTAAGTGCGCCGGATTACAGTGAAAATAGACTGGCTGGGAATCTACCTCACTGTCTCCCCACATACACAAGGTGTCAAGTCAAAAGTCAAGAAGATGGGGGAGACGCAGCCAAAGCCGCCCCTATGCGTGCCACCACGTTCAAACACGGACACGCACAAATTGTCATGTTCGCATACGCGCACACACATACTGGTGAGACCGACAACAGCAACAGCCCCGACATACACACACACACACCGCGAGATTGATCGCCCGTTTAATCCGCGCCATAACTATTGTAACGGTAGCCCAGGCCGAGATATCACCGCTCAATAACGCCTTGTGTGGGTGCCCGAAAGGAAGAACACAACAAGAAGTGGGCAACAGCAGAAGTCTTTGAGTGAAGAAGGTACAACAAATTTAGGGCAACGAACGTGTGTAAGATAGGTCCGAACCAATCAGCTTCTCTTCTGGATTAGTCAGCGGTGCGATTGGCTGGGACTCAGAGGCTGACATTCAGCTTGAATTTTGAATTATCGATTGATTGACGGTTTGTGTACGTTCGCTCGTGTAAGACGATCGATAGCCTGCTTTGAGTACAGCTATTACTTGCAAGCTAAGTGCTTGCTAAGACTGTTCGTTAGGCCATCCCAACATTAACGACACCTGGCTAGAGTCTCACATACGTGAAATTGCTAGAAAGATCATAAAGGAACCATTGCAGCCTGTGAAAGGTGGGAAGTATTTTAATTATACGGCGTTTTTGGCAGCACAAAACGCAACTGTATCAGAGGGTGCGCTCCGCCAGACATTAAACCTACAGGTGAGGGCATTTTCCTATCAACAATTTAAGGGATCAGAAGAAAGAGGTACGAACACTGGAACAAGAGCTTTATTGTCCTGACGTTTTGGATTCCGTCAGGAATCCTTAATAATAGGTAATGGTAACGTCAGGATAATAAAACTCTTGTTCCAGTGGTCGCATCTCCTTCTTCTGAACTGCTTCCTGGAACACGCATATTCACCGCGTATTCTTTCTTTTCATATTCACCTCTATTGGCAATTTAGGGGATACCGGTGATGGTTCACTACTCAGGCCTGCTGTAACGCTCGATACAGTGCAACACAACTCCGTCTTCTCTAGTAATCGAAATGCCATTCGTCATACAGTGCGTCCGTTCACTATTCCCAAATTACATGCTGCACACATTCAATCTAAGGAAAATACCCTATTTATCTATGCTGAGAGGGTCCATAAAATCTTGCAGTAGATGCAGACCATGTTGTACACTTTGTAAGGGGACGGATACGATGCTTTATGAAAACATCTCATGTTTTGAAAAAATCTCATAGAAACTTTTTGAAAAAAAGCAAACCACCCTTCCTTTGCGAAGGATTATAGGATTCGCTACTAAATGGATACAAAAAAGAATATGTTTGCTAATATATTCCATAAAAAATAAATTTGAATTTATAAGGACGCCCAAATTAATAGGAAAAAAAGCATACTATTTAAGTAGTTAATTTAGTTAGTTCAAAAGCCGGCATTTCAACGCGATTTACATAACCTAGAATTAGACTGCAAAATAACTAATATAAAAACTCCACCAAGGCACTTTTTTCGAATCAGAAGCATATATCAAAATTTCGGTTGACATTTCTCGAAATGGCAAATCGACCGTAGGCCTGTCGTCGAAAACACACCCCCCACCCCAAATGGGAAGCACAGCAGACGCGTCTTCGACCGCGT